ACATCTGTCACAGGAGTTTTGGGATTTCAAGAACAAAAATTTCAAAATGGAATGTTAATGACATAGAAAGAAGAAGAGGGCTGTGTCTCACATGGGTCCCTTTCAAAGCAGGGCTTGAGACTGCTGAGGACCATGAGGACATGGGCCAAGACACATCCCTGGAAGCAGGCCTAGGACACAGGCCAGAGAAGAAGTTAAAAAACAAAAGCAAGAACAGAGTGGGGTCATGGAGGGGGAGGAAAGGTAAAGACAAAAGAAGCAGGTGCACTATTGGGAATGGGCCCCATGTGCGCTGCCAAAAGCTGGTTCTAAGGAGAGGGGAGAGTTGGGAACTAGGGGACTCAGGCACTAATCGGTGGTGCCTTTGTGGGTGGCACCTCACCATTCTGCTTCTTTCTTGTTAACATACATAGGTGCCCAATTAGCATAAAAGTGCTCTGGGCCTTAAGGGGGAAAAAAGCCTCTCCAGATGTGTGCATGGGTGTGAAGTGTTTGTGCATTTCCTATTTTCCAGGGCTGGAGAGGGAGGTGAAAGGAGGGTAGACAGGAAGGTGAGAGGTGAGACTGTGGCTGAAGCTTGGCTCAGCTGAGGCTGAGACATCCTAGAAAACTCAGAGTGCGGAGACCTGGCCCAGGGCATGTGTCTGAGGGCCCGTCCCTTCTTCAGTGGATCACTTTGCGGAATACAGGGGTGGAAAGCGAGGCGCGCCCCTCCCCCACTAGATGGCACTGAAACGCCTTGTTCGAATTTCCGAAATGCAGAAAGGAGAGAGGGGGGGGAAAAAGACAAAAAGAACATGGTGGAGGTGCGCTCCAGAAGCCCCGTGGTGCAATGCCGGTTGCCTGGCACGCTCTGTCTTTATCCAGGGCAGCTCTTTACCAGGCAGTGAGAGACCTCAACTTTGGAGAGAGGTTGACAAAGAAGGGAGACCGTTTCAGTGAGCACCCTAGTATTTGCAGCTGAGGGGGAGGCTCCCCGCCTTTGCGGCGCTGTCTCACGTGAGTGAGGCAGCGGGGTGGGGGGCGGGACGCAGCGGGCACGCCAGAGGCTCACTCGCGCCAGGTCTGGGGTCCTTCAGAGCCGAAATCCAGCCGCCACCTATGCAGGATGACAAATCCATACCGAGGATGCCTGTGACCCAAACGCCCTCCCCAAAGTGCAAGCCCCCAGCGTTTCAAAACATCTAACTGTACTTAATCCGCCCCCCATTAAAATTCTCTTCTTGCGATCACGAAACGATCGGTTTAATTTCTTCTTTTCCTGCTATGGAAAGACGGAAGGTGAAGGTGGGTGGGGTTGAGGTCGGCGATGGCCTGGGGACGGCCGCGACCCTGGGTTGCTCCTTACTCAGCCTAGGGTGGAAAACCTTATAGCAAGCAAGGCAACGCCTGTGGCGTTGGGGGCGGGAGGATGAAGATCAAATGCACCCGGAGACACCAGCGTCGGAAACCGGGGTCGCTCAGCTCCTGTAAGAGCCCGTTCTGCAACCAGCAGTGTTTTCTTTAAAACACTGTGGTGGATTGGAGGGAATTTTTCACGGCTCTGAAGAAATACATATAGGCACCACCCCTAAATGTATAAGAATACACGTAAACATATTACATGCCACATATATGTATATGTGCATAAATATGGATGTGGTTGGGCACATACCTTAGCTAGACACCATTGACTTGCCTCGTCAGAGAATAAGGCTGAGACATTTCGTGCCTGGGAAATGGTGCGGTTTATCTTTAAGAAGGCTAGAAAAATAAGAGATGAGGCTCACGTTGCACGGATGACATCACTAGGTTTTGGCCGCGCGCTCCGTGTTCTCGTCGGTGGGTTTTAGCCAAGGCTGCAGCGCCGGGCGCCCGAGCAAGCGAGCGAGCGCGGCAGCGGCTTCTCCGGCGCCTGCACCCGGGTGAGGCGACGTC